TTTATTTTGTCACTTTGTGACCTTTCTCTAATCCCCTTAAATTGTGTACGTTATTAAAAATAAGTAAAATTTTTAAAATGCAATATTTTTGAAATACTTATAACTAAAAAATTAGATACTCAAACAAAAATAAAAAAAAGTATTTCTTGTCTTACGAAAGGAATAAAAAAAATTAATATATACTACCGTCGGGAATTATCAATACTGCTGCAGCCGTAGGGGAGACCGGGGCGTAATGGCTAAGGGGCGTAATGAATAATTGTAATTTGTTTAAAAACCGTAAATTGTAATAATTTCGCACAATAGACAAGTTATTGTACTTGGTATACTGCAAGTTTGTCGGAAGTTTCATTAATATTTATTCATTATTGTAAGAAATATAGTAGAAAAACTATTTTTGACATACGAAAGTAACTTTTCAAAATTTTCGTTTTTTCGTTCTATTTTTTTCAAAAATAGCTTTTAAAAAAAAACTGAAATGAGGTTTCGATCTTGACACGTTTGTTTTTAAGGGACAATTCGAGATTTTTGATTCACACTTCCGGTATTGTTAAAAAAAAGCCAAATATTTGCCGAGTACCCCCGGGGCGTAATGGCTAGTTTTTCCCGGGGCGTGTTGGCTAATGTAATACGCTATGTATAAAAAGTAACCTACCATATCGGCGAAGTGTAGGTTTGTTTTCGCGATTGCTTGTCACTTAGTTTAAGTATGTTTAGGTATTTTTAACAAAATTTTAAAGCTTTGGTCTAAAATTTACAAATAGTAGATTTCAAGCTACGATTTTAATGAGAAATTACAAAAAAAATTGAGAGAGTGCCAATATCACAGAATATTATTGAAAAAGCGATAGTTGAAGTATTGCTGAATAAAAATAGCATTCACGGAATACCCAGGAACCTTAATTTACAATATGCAATAAGATTGGAAACTGTAGATAATAATTAGCAATCATTATTCATTACGCCCCGGGAGTTATCCATTACGCCCCGACTCGGGCCGTATTTTGGAGCTCTGCATTGCTCCAGAAAAACTGTTGTAGAATAAAAAGTAAGAGTCATATCGGGACGTTTGTAGTCTTAAAAGAAAGCTGAGATACCAGAGTAAATTTTCTGGAAGATAAACATTCAATTAGAACAAAAATGTCCGAGTAAAACAACAAAGAGTGAAAAGTTAGCCATTACGCCCCGGTCTCCCCTATATATTAATTTTTTTTATTTCTTTCGTAAGACAAGGAATACTTTTTTTTATTTTTGTCTGAGTATCTAATTTTTTAGTTATAAGTATTTCGAAAATATTGCATTTTAAAAATTTTACTTATTTTCAATAACGAACACAATTTAAAGGGATTAGAGAAAGGTCACAATGTATATACCTTTTTTAATCTTTGATATGAAAAAAATGTATAAAAATCAATTTTGATAAAAGTTTTTATTTTTAATTATCCCAGTAAAAAAAATTCGATACACGGACCGCGGAGTGCGTATACGAGCTCGGTAGCTCGTATGAGAATTATGAGAAAACTCTCATACGAGCCTTTTCCGTAATGAGGAGAAGTGTATAGATGCTTGTATACGAGGTGACTTTTAAAGCATTTTTCTTAATATAACACTATTTTAAAGTAAATGTAGATAATAGAAATGAATTTTCAAAGTAAAACAAAGCTAAATTTATAAGGGAAATGAAGTTTTAAGAAAAAAAGGATAATTTTATTCAAAAAATTTATTCACACTGAAAACAGGTTAGAATTTGATAATTCCTTGTTACTCTAACTAACCGACATTAGATATTTCTCGTATACGGTAAGCAGATTTTGTATTAAATTTAATTATTTTATATAAGAACATTTATATAATAAATAAATAATAATATATTATTAATTAGTAATGAAAAAAACTTATTAATTCTACCGCCAATACAAAATCGTGCTTACCGCATCCGAGAAATATCTAATGTCGGTAAGTTAGAGTAACAAGGAATTATCAAATTCTAACCTTTTTTCAGTGTGAATAAATTTTTTGAACAAAATTATCCTTTTTTTCTTAAAACTTAATTTCCTTTATAAATTTAGCTTTGTTTTACTTTAAAAATTCATTTCTATTATCTACATTTACTTTAAATTATTGTTATATTAAGAAAAATGCTTTAAAAGTCACCTCGTATACAAGCATCTATACACTTCTCATTACGGAAAAGGATCGTATGAGAGTTTTCTCATATTTCTCATACGAGCTACCGAGCTCGTATACGAAGTCCGCGGTCCGTGTATCGAATTTTTTTTACTGGGGATAAAAAAAGATTTTCTGATTCGCTATACACATTGCATACATAATACATTAAAAAAATTGGGAGAAATAATATTTAACCAATTGCTAGCCCATAGCAGGCACGAGGGCTAGATAATGTATATAAGGCAGTACTCAAGCCCATTGCTAGCCCGTCTGACTTACTCTAAGTGCGCCAGCAGAGGCTAGCCAAATGACAGCGTTACAACTTACACGCTGTGTGGCGGCCGAAGCGTGCCGGGCGGGCAGGATACCTTTGCTTTCTGGGAGTCATCACCGAACACTTATTTTCGTTTATAGGTAAATTATTCTCCTTTGACCATCTCAGGACTCTCTCAATGTCCTCCTGCAAATCAGTAGCCGATACTATAGATGAAATAGTAGAGAATAATTTAAGATCGTCTGCAAAACATAAAAATTTACTATGATTAATATTGTTTTGTAAGTCATTTATTAAAATTATAAAAAGAAGAGGGCCCAAATGAGATCCCTGAGGCACACCCGACGAAGCACTAAATCCCTCAGACAATATTCAATTGACTCTAACATATTGTATTCTCTTATGTAGATATGAGGCAAACCAGAAGAGAGCGCAAATATTGTTCATTCCATAGGCTTTGAGTTTAGTTAAAAGTATTTTATGGTCAACTTTGTCAAACGATTTGGAAAAGTCAAAGTAAATAGAATCAATTTGTTTTCCCGTTTCTAAATTATTTGCAATGTACTCAGAATAAATACATAGATTTGTGCAAACTGAACAGCTTTTACAGAAACCATGCTGTTCTTCCATTAGAATACTTTTAAATGCCGAATGCAGTCTGTCATGTATAATACTTTTAAACAATTTAAGTATAGAATTTAGTATAGTTATTGGCCTGTAGTTTTCAATGTTAGAAACGTCATCTTCCTTGAAGACAGGTACAACTATGCCGTCTTTCCATATGTCAGGAAAATAACCAATTTTAATACTCGAATTGAAAATGTGAAGCATTGGAGTGATTAAGGACGGACAAGATTTTAAAAAACCCGAAGTTATACAATCAGTTCCGCCACCTTTATACAAAGATAATTTAGACAATTTAACTTTAATTTCCGATTCAGAGATAGGTGAAAAATTTAAATCAATCTTATTATTGTAATTGTATAATTTTTATCATTTGAAGTTCCATAAACAGACTTAAAAAAATCAGCAAATAAATTTGATATTCCCGTACATGTGTTTTCAAACTGATCATTTAATTTCATTTCCCTTGGAATGTGAAAGTTTTTTGAACTATTAGTGTAAGACCAGAATGACTCGGATTAGAGATAATATTTTGTTCAGTTTTCAGGATGTACGTGTTATAACATTGAAAAGAAAGTAACTTATATCGAGACCTAAAAGTAGAAAAATACTCATAATCAGCAAGTTCTCTTGTTCGTTTGTATACAGAGTGAGCCGCTTTTTTAGCTTTTACAAGATCAATTAATTCTCTTGTAAACCACAGTGGATAAGTAGTTCTATGTTTTCGTATATACATATGGAACATGTAACGAAATAGCAGAGTAGATATGTATATACAATATATTTACCATATCATCAACATGAGCACAAAGTAATTCCTGATTTTCATCAAAAACAATATTTTTTAAGGCAGTTAAAGATGGCTGAAATAAAGAAGACCAGTCTAATCCCAAAAAATACTCATTCATACTACAGTAATTTGCCTTCTTAAAATTATAGTAATAATATTCCTCTCTATTTGCCGAAAAAAAATATCCTGAACATAATTTTAATGAACATTAAAATAAAGCTGAGAATCTGATGTTTAATTCCCCTATATATTATATATAAAAAGGAGGAAAATTATTATTGCTTTTATAAATAATCAAATTTTACATATTGGCCCAAGCAAAAATACAATTTCATCTCCGAAGCCATACTTTTTATTAAATAATTGAATATATTGAATATATAATTGAATAAATTTAACCGAATATTTCGATGACAATATAAAATTACAGTGTGAAATTTGTATATTGTACTAAAAATATATGTTAATTGTGCCCTAATGTAAAACAAAATTTATTTTTCATCTCCGAAGCCTTTTCCATGAAATGTGCGAGTTTTTCTTTTGTTTTTAGTATTTAACTGCATTATTTTGAAAAAATTAAGGGGTCGTTCACAAACTACGTCACGCTTTTTCGAACTGATTTTACCCCCCTCCCCCCACCCCTTCGTCACATTTTTTACATACAAAAAAAATGTTTTTCTACACTTCGTCACACACAGCTTGACACCCATCCCACCCCTAGGAGTGTGACGTAGATTATGAACGACCCCTAACCCAAATAATAACCATCAAATCAGATTCTTTAACTAGATTTATATTAAAATTAAAAATAATATAAAAAACATTTTTTTTGTATTAAAATATACAAATTACTATTTTTAAGCAGTGTAATTTTATTTTGGATTACGTGAACAATATTAGCGTATATTTTTAATAGAGAAACTCGCGAATCAAATAAAACTAATCTAATGGAGCAACAAAGTCAATTTTCTTCAAAGAAGAAAAACTTTAATAATTTTAACAATTAATTTTGCGCAACTTAAAAATCTTATACTCTTGAGTATGAAGTAAAGTAGTTTCAGTATAAAGAACCATGTAATTTAAAAAAAAAATAAATTGAAAAATTGAAGTTCAAAAGTAGCACTTTCAGAAGAATCACCTATATTTAGCTTAGTTTAGTTTAGTTTATTTACGGTATAATACACCTTTTTTACATAATTAAATCTTAGTTTATATAAGTAACAAAAATTAAATGATTTTATTATAAAATTTATAAAATGTAGAAGGTTATTTATCGACACGGCAAGAGTCTTTCTTTCCACGCCTCGGAATAATAGAATTCGGTAGATAAAATAGAAAATTATCATTAACTTTTTGGAATTTTGTTGGTTTAAACAGAAAGTATAAACTTTAAAAATTGTCTTTAATTATATGTTTCAAAGGAACTTACACCCGAAGGTCTAAGTTATTTTTTCCCTTTTATAAAAATTCTTTAAAAAAGATCTATTTTCAAACCACCTATAATGTAGAATTAATTGCCTCTTCTAAATAAATTCCTTACTTGAATTTCAGAAACAAATAAGAAGAGAAATGAAATTTTTTTCGAAGTCTTTATTCTACTATCATGGCACAATTATCTTCTGTAGAATCAACATTCGGTGGATGTTCAACTTCTTTTGTATCTATCCTTGAATTTGGTACAATTTCTGTTTCGGAAGGTTCTTCACATTTGGCAACTAATTTACAACTTTCAGCCTTTTTCGTTCTGTCTTGAGTATTTAGTTTTAAATCTTTTTTTCCGAATCTTCGAAATTTGAAGTTTGGTAGGTAACGTAGTTCACCATCCCATTTGCGCAACATCTCATATTGGCTGGTAATTAATATATCAGGAATCTCTGTTTCAGATGAAAAGGGATAAAGAGCATATTCAATTTTTGTTCATTGGTGGAAATTGTCTATTAGGATAAGAGCGACTTAAATTGATTTCATTTCGTAAAATTTTCATCATTTCGATGTTAACAGCATGTGATTGTTAGGCTTTCAATGGTAATCTTTTCGATTACTTTTCTCTTGAAATATTTAATAAATTGAGCTGAAATTTTGTACAAAAGTCTAAAATACAATAAAGAAGGGCAGTGATGTGCAAAAGTTTTAATATTTTTAAAATCAATTATTACAAATTACTTTAAAATTATCAGTTGTCACGGTTACTTCCAATCAATTGAGGCCTTGGATCCAATAACTCGCCCGACGCAGAGATGCCATTGGGCGGAGGAATTTCATCCCCACTCTTGCACCATTTTACATTTAAGTCAATGTAAAATGGCGCAAGAGTGGGGATGAAATTCCTCCGCCTAATGGCATCTCTGGCCCGACGCTCGAAGGCACGCGCTAATACCAGTCGGGTAGCAGTGAGTGGCCCAGAGGCGCTCACTGCTCTCTGACTGGCAGTTGCGCGTTCCTCCGAGCGTCGGGCGAGTTATTGGATCCAAGGCCTCAATTTTTCGTCTTTACCGATTTCAAAGTGTTTTATTATAATTTATTTTTTAATTATTAAAACTTTTGCACATTACTGCCCTTCTTTATTATATTTTAGACTTTCTTACAAAATTTCAGCTCAATTTATTAAATATTTAAAGAGAAATGTGGTCGAAAAAATTACCATTGAATGTCTAACAGTCACATGCTGTTAAGACTATTAAATTTCGATCAAAATATGGCCTCTTGGCAAAAAACCATGTCCGTTTCATATTCGCCAAATAATGTTCCAAAACATTTTAAAAACATGGATGTTGAAATAATGTTTTAGAACATTATTATTAACGTTATATTTAGAATGTTATTGACAAAATATTTCTTTTTACAGAAAACTCAGCAAGAACATTTATTCGCCTTATGGAAGTTAACTCAGAAAATTTTATCGTCAAAGAAGAAATAATTTTCAAATCGAAATGAATTCGAATATGCAAAGTGAAATTTAATTACAATCTCATGAATTTCATGCTGAATAATTAAAATGAGAAGACAATTTAATCTAATTACCAATTCCACATGTTTTGTACTCCTCCAGTTCTCGTTCCTTAGTCATACGAAGAATATCCTCTCTACTAGCATGTTGTCTACTTCTTTTACCTCCAATTGAATGTTTCAAAGCTATCTGCTCCATCTCTTCATCATTTCGTGCTATATATCTAAAAGAATTAACATTTTTATTTTTCCTACCAAGAAATTTTGAATTTAAGGCAATATTATTTTTTCATTACTAACTCGAGTAATAATTCCGCTGTTAATTCTGGTGTATATGGAGAAACATCCTGCATGTGCTCTTGAATCCATAACATTTTTTCAGCTACCAAATTTTGCTTTATGTAGGAACCAAGTTTCACCTTCTCTCGTTTGTTTATTCTGAAAAATAAATCAAAATATTAAATGCAATCGAAAATCTTTTTAAGAATGATATATGGATCATTTCCAATAATGGATTAGAAATTAAAAACTGTGATGTTTTAATTACTAATCTTTTAGATTTGTTTTAATTATTAACTTGTACCTATTTGTTTTCTTGACAAGAGCAATTGATTTCCTACTGTTCGGATGGGAAAGCTTCTTCACCTTGGACAATTCCTTTTTTAAATTGGAAGACTGTAAAACATAATTATTTGCAATTATTAGACTGCAGTTAAATAATTGAAAAAATTTTTAAATAAAATAAAAAATCGAATATAACAATTTGCTTTCAAATTTAAATTTAATGACGATTTCTGTTTTATCAATAAAAGGTTAATAAATTTTTAGCCAATGACAGTAATAAAGAGAGAAACAGTAATACAGGATTGTCTCAATATAACTAATTATTAACTTTTCTGCGAATACTTTAGACAGTTCCGAAAATTTTTAGTAATCTTTACAAAATTAATGTAAAGTTTATCGAAAAAGTAGATAGAAAATAAAGGTTACAACGCATGATAAAATAAAAATTTGCAAATTAATTTATTTAGAGAAAGTATAAAAAAAAGGCAAATCTTACCATTTTTAGTAGTGGGCAAAACAATAAAACTTCGAAAAAACTTGTTAAATAATTAAATAAATAAACAGATACAGATAACAATGTTTTTTGACAAGTTGAATAGTGACCACGTTTTCACACCTAACCTACACGGAAAAGTTCTTGGGCGAGTCGCTGTACCTGTTGTGGTGGCGCTGAGTGACCAGTACCTATGGTAAAGTGACAGCCCCATTTTGGTAGCTCATTTCACCCACAGAGACTGCTGCTTTCCTACTGTGGGGCGTCAGAGCTCTCTTGTGGGGCATCAGAGCTCTCTTTAGAGAGAAAGCAGAAAACCTTTTCTGTGGGAGGCGAGTGAGAGACGTCTGCTCGCCCAAAAACTTTTCCGTGTACACACGGAGAGAAAAATCAAGCGTTTGTAGTATGGACAGTTAAGCTTATTTCGTAAAAGAATGCACATGCGCAATATGCGTAAAACTTCTGCTGTATTTGTATAAATTTCTACGTTATCAGCATAAAAGTTCTACCTGTAACGTATGGGACGTCAGTATACTACGATTGCAAGAGATCCATGCTTTTTTAGTATATGTTTCATGCAACTGAGGTATAAAAACATGCCTCTTTAGCAGGACGTTCATACAAAATTAGCATAGGAAGTCTCCATACTACAAACGCTTGATTTTTCTCTCCGTGCAGAACTGTTTTCCTACTTTTATATTCAATTAGCTTCAGTCCTTGAAGGTCATCTTTCAGTAATATATATCTAACGAAAATACGCTCCTCATGGTAAAGCCAATTGAAAACAGCCTTAATATAGAAAAGAATCGTAGAATTAGAAAGAATTCAGTTGCTATTATTATTAAAAAATTTTAATTATAATGTAAGTTAAAATAATTTACTAAAAATATTGTAATTTCACAAATTAACTATTAACATTTCGTTATTTACCATAAAAGGTAATTATCATTTGATTTTAAAACTTTCTGCCTACACAATATTATCATTTGGGTGATGAATTACGTTGGACTTGACTCTACTACCAAGAGATGGCAGCATCAAGCAATTAGTGTGACGTATGTGCATGATACGCTCCTCTCCCAATAGAGGCAGCACTTAATGCGCGGTTTAATTCAAATAATTAAACATAAATTAACGCAACCAACACATTATAATTATTGAGATTTCTATATAATTCAAATTATTGGCAAGCAACATGAGCAAATCGACCAAATATTTTCTCACGATAAAATCCTGAGTGGAACGAATCATAAAATTGAATACAATAAAGCATGCAGTAGAGGTGACGAAACTTAATCCCTCACAATAAATATTTTTGGACTTTTTAGAGTATAACGTTAAATTAAAGTACATGCTTTACTTATTTGTCACGTTTTAGAAATTCTTATTTTATAGTTTTATTGCTTCTTAAAGAAACTCGAGTAAATCGCTCATCTGGTTACCATAAAAACCTAAGACCCCTTTTTGCCTGGGTAATAAAAAAGGGGACACTATTGTTTCGTAATCCCTACTGCATAGACGAGTTAGTAAAAATCTGAAACACCCTCTTTTTCCTCCTTTTTGGGTTTTTCCACTTTTTAGCGAATCAGACATAAATAGGCGTATATATGTATTCCTTCCTGGCACTCGTGGGGGGGGCAAAGGCCCCCAGGATGGGACCGTACGGTCTTGGAGAAAACAGATACTGTTCTACCTCGAAAGTATTAACAAGATATGTTGAGAGATTAAGAATAAAGTTAATACCGTCAACCGGGGCTATTTTGTGCACCAAATAGCTTTTTTTTGACTCAAAGATTTATTTAAATTCAGAATTAAAAGAATATAGAAAATCAATTTATGATATATGTTGTGGGCATCCTTCTGAAGGTTTCCTATAAATTTGGCAAAGAAAAAAATTTTTTTGTCTTAGTCATAGTCATTGAAAGTCGTGCACACAATAACTCCCGGGATGGGGCTATTTTGTGCATCGAACTTTGTTTTCCTATAATGTTGCGTAAACATTTTTTTAATCGTTTCTGCTTCATAAAATCTTTTGTGTATATATTTGAGAGTAAGTTAAAAAAAGAATGACCTAGTAAAATTTCTTTTGTAGATATATTATACAAAAAATGTAAAATAAAGCACTAAAATTTTGCTAAAATCTGAATTTACTAAAAATTAACAATCTTTCCTTAAATTGTATATTACGCAGATAGTAAATAACATTTTTTTCTTTTTTAATATATATTTTATAATAATATACTAATATAATTATAAAATGATCGTTTAAACACTTATAAATAACTTTAAAACATCATTTCAATAGGAGCTTTTTTAATAGTTTTGAATGATATTTTTAAAAAACTTAAAATAAATATTTTTAAGGTTAAATAGATAACAATTTAATATCTAATATGCTTTTTAAGTTACTTTAAGAGAAACGAGAAAATAGTTTTAAAACTAATTTGAAAAACTTATAAATATTAATTAATGTTCATTTTTTGAGGTTACGTTGTGCATCGGTTGAGCTTTTAATCGTTTTAATGATTTTAATTAACGTATTTACAGTTTTAAAGAAAAAAAAGTTTAAAACTTTAAAACAGTTTTTAAAGTTTTACAGAAAAGTAAGACAAAAATGTATTAAAATGATAAACAGAATCTTCTTTACTTACTAAATAAAACATTTATGAAAAATAGGTATTTGATTTTTTTAAGTGCACAAAATAGCCCCATGGAATCCTGGTTTTTCAGTTTTTTCCACTTTTCTCTTAAAATAATGAATAAAAAATTAGCGCATTACGTATGTATCATCACAACACAATTGACAACAAATATCTAACTCAGTTTATGAGACACATTAAAACTCTAGAAGATCTGGTATAATTTTTCCGAACTTTCAAAATTTTTTAAACAAATTTTCCGTTTTTAGGAATTTTTTTCTCTTAATTGACAAAGAATTAAATAATAACATTTAGTGCTCTCTATTGTCATGTAATCAAACTTTCATTTTACAAAATAGCAGATTAAAATAATTCATTTTAATAATTTTTTTCATTAAAAAACTCGCGTGCACAAAATAGCCCCCGGATGCACAAAATAGCCCCAGTTGACGGTATAGTATGAATTTAGAAGTTTCATTTAATCACCAATAATAATAATTTTTAACTTGTATTTTTCGCTAAGCAAGCAGTAAAGTATTCATATCACCGCGAAAGTTGAGCTTCTTAGCTCTTTATTGTGGAAACGAACTTTCATCGTCGAGGATTCCGCTTTGAATTAAACTCTAATTATAAAATCAAAGTAGTATTAAATTTCTAGTAAAAGTTTGAATTTTTAGAATTTTACCGCGCAAACTGACTCGGCGCGTCACATTAGTATGTCATCGTTTCTAATTAATTAATAATTATTATAAATATAAAATTTATGAATCCTATTAGTACTAAATATTATGTTTTAATTAAAAACGTATTTGTTAATTAGGTCAGTAGTTAATAAAGCATATTTAACGAACGATTGTGTAATAGAATTTACATCAATATAATCCCCAGTAGCACGTAATGTTCCAGTAACATTGACAACATTGAGGCAATATAAAATACATAAAAAATTTATGAACTTTTTAATTAAAAAACATTATATTAATATATTATAATTAATAAAATAACAATAATCTTTTATCCTAATGACGTACTTAAGATATCAAAATTTTCGAAAGTCCATAAATATTGCAATCATGTTTGTATACCCTGTTTAAAAAAATTATTAAAATGGATAGAATTTGATAGAATTTTCTCTCTTCACTCCTTGAAATTCGAATCCAATTTAATCAAATATTGAAAATCCAATCCACTTCTATCAAAGTAGAAAATTAAATCCATTTCAATCATAAGTTTTGATGTATTACCTATCAAAGTTAATCATATACTAAAATCCAATATTTTATTATCAAGAGTTTGGACACAAACTCTATCGAGTTCTATGAGTCTAAAAATCTTATAATTTTCTGTCCTTGAGTTTGGATTGAATACCTATCAAATTCTTTCCACATAAAAATCCATTATTTCTCTATCAAAAATTTGGATACAAATTCTATCAAGTTCTATGAGCCGAAAAATCTTATAATTTTCTATTCATCAGTTTGGAATGAATGCCTATCAAATTCTTTCCACATGAAAATCCATTATTTTTCCATCAAAGATTTGGATACAATTTCTATCAAAATCTATTACACGACAAGTCTTCCCACACAGCACATGATATTTCCTAAATATTTCCTGAATATTTCACTGAAAGATTGAAATATTTCAGTGCAAAGTTCTAGAAATATTTCTGCAAACAGGAAAATGTCCGCTTATGTGGGAATATTGACGCGAAAGTTGAGAAAATATTTCATTGAAATATTTTGGAAATATTCAAATGAAATGATGCGCACTGGTCGAACTCAGTTTCTATGGCCTGTAGAGCTGCGCAGTAGTTTTTGGCTTACTATATCCTATGGGTTTTAAAATATTTCAGAAATTTCCTATTGGTTTGAGGTGTTTAACAAATTTTTCCATTTTGTGAAATATTTTCACAATATTGCAGAATCTTTATGTGTAATATTGCAGGAATATTTCAATGAAATATTTTCTCAACTTTCGCGTCAATATTCCCACATAAGCGGACATTTTCCTGTTTGCAGAAATATTTCTAGAACTTTGCACTGAAATATTTCAATCTTTCAGTGAAATATTCAGGAAATATTTAGGAAGTATCATGTGCTGTGTGGGTTATATAACTTTCTATCTATGCGTTTGGATTAAATACATATCAAATTCTTTCCACCCGTGTGGAAAATGAAAATTGGTCCTAGCCAGGTCCTACCTATTTTGCCCTGTTAATAGCTTGGTCCTAGGTTGGCAGTGTAGGTTGGACCAACAATGGGTGGTGATGCGATTCTAGTCTGGTCCTAACTTGGGAGCCTAGTTAGGACCAGTTTATGGGTCCATTTTAGGACCTAGAAAGGACCATCTCAGACAGTATTTTCTATTTCATTATAATTTTAATTAGTTAATAATATTTGTTAAAGAAATAACCTAAATTATTAATAATAAGTATTAGTTTTAATTAATTATTATTTTTTTCAATTAAGTGATGACCAAAAGCGAATTCATAAATAATGTTAGTATATGTAGAGATTAATATATATTCCTCTAATATATACATTAAAAATTATAAAAAAAATTAGAAACTTGTTAATTAAATTATTTTACAGTATATATAATCATTAAATTGCTTACTTATACGAATACAACGCAGAAAAATCGGAATAAACGCATACCCAAGAAGTAAATAAAATCTAACGCACGCGGGAATCGAACCTACGACCTACGGACTACGAGA